AAGGTCCATAAACAATAGCAATATAATCTTACAGATCCCTGCCTGAAAATACATAGTTTGCAATAAAACAGGAGTTAATAAACAGTTACCAGCAGTAATAACATGCTATAAAATACCATTCGTTTCAGAGAACAACTTACGATAGCGAGGAGGTTGGCGAGCTCGTCGTTAAACGCATCCATGTCGAACTTAACTTTTGAAGGTTGACAGGAACTTCTGTCTTTGATGTCACTAGATACTCCTGTGTCTGTAAAGTTTGAACGATATCACATTAAGAATTGTGTGGTTACGGACAATGAGTGCAACAGATGTAAATTATGACTTTGTTTGGAATGTATACTTTATAGAGCTTTTACTGAGGACTTGATAAAGTAGGAATTTGTATGATGTGGGTATACCGGTGTCAGCATGGTTTTAGAAAGTTGTTGAAACCGTTTTGAAGTAACTAATGCATTGCAAATATTTACCGAAAATTAACTTTTGATAAAATGTGATGACCAGATTGGAAAGTTGTACTGCCCGGACCGGAGAGTTTACGTCCGAAAGTTGATACATGTACCTGCGCACTGATATTTTCTAGATGTGCATTCGTAAGAAAGATATTTGTAATTGGCTGCGCAGTTTGCAAAATTTCCAATCTGGGATATGGATGTCTCGGGCTAGCATAGATAAGTTAGCCATAAATACGATAAGTCGTTTTCTTTTATTCTTATTTTGATAACCATTTTCTTCGATGCGAGGGTAAACTATATATTTTTCTGAAAGTGTAAGACCCTTTATCAAAATGCATACTAACGTCCAATATTTCTTTTCATATGATTCACTGTATCACAAATATCTATGTTAAGCAATCTTACCTTCAGGATCAGGGGAACCATTCTCCTTATTCTGTCGTTTTGTTTTAACTGCGACGTTTCTCTCTGAAATGAGTTCTTGACGTTATTTTTTGGCTCCTTGGGCATACACACACATATATACATACATATATACATACCTACGTACATATATACATACATATATACATACCTACGTACATATATACATACATATATGTTTGTGTCTATGTATGTAAACATACATACATACACTTACACACACACATATGTATCTATCTATATGTATATGGATATATGCACACAAACGTGCACATATATGTATGTATGTATGTATGTGTGTGTATGTATGTGTGTGTGTGTGTGAAACATAATTGCTAGCAGGTCGACTTAGATTTTGTCGTTCCCAACTTTTTTATGCCGCACCCTTGAGAAAATTTTCCTGTGTCCTCGCACCCCCTTAGATTTAGAGCTTATTTAAGGATAAATTAGGTGAAAATATACTAAATTTGATCAACAAAAGATATTGATTTTTTTCATTTTCAAATTTATTAACAAAAAATATATGGACAAGAAAACACGTCACAGATTATTTGATTAAACCCTACAAAAAATAATCACTCGCTTGAAATATCTACATGTAAAAATCAGAGAACAATTTTAACACGTTTTGGAAAATGAATTCTCAATTCAATGGCTTTTTTTTCCTGTTTCTTGATTAATTAAGAGAAATAAAGAGGTTAATTGCTTGTCTTCAAGATGGACCCTTCCCGCACCCCGTAACCCCGGCCTAGATGGATGCCTCGCGAAATCAGTGTGCTGGTAATCTGCGGGAAGAAAGCCTCAGATAAAAAAAATAGAAAATACTTTCTCCCTCCAAGCAAAGTGCGAAAATCAATTCTTTGAAATACTTGGACAACTTTAACACCTTTCCTGATTGTGAAATCCCTTCTCCATTGAATTTTAAGCAGGTAAAGTTACCTTCTCTACGCGTGGGAAAAATACTTTGGGGCAAAATCAGAAAAAAAACATTTATTTTTTAGTTCAGCTTCCCTTCCCCTTTTAGGCAACAGTGTTAATGTCACTGCTCTGGGTACCAAAGAAATAAGAGGCACCACGGTATTAAAAGGTACAAAACTCGTGTGCACATTCCCTGATTCTAAAATTCGTGAGTTCGATTCATGGATTTATATCCGACGCTCTCAACGCCCCCGATCCGAATACTATTCTATAAATCAGTCTGGAACCAAGTTGACAGCTGTTTCCCCTTAAAAAGAACCACTCACCATCAAGATAAACCATAAGTTACCAACATCAAAAACCTTATCCTGTGCAAGGCAAAACGCCTACAAAACAACACTTTGATACAACAAAGTACTTAGCAATAAAGGTAAGGCAAGATCATCTAAGAGAAATGATTATAGAAAAATATAAAATCAGCGAATCAAACCTAAACCATGGTACAGCCATATTAGGAACATAATTAGTGACAAAAGCCATATCTTTCTCAAATCAGCGACATTGTCGACTCGCAGAGGGAGCTTCTAAATCAACTGTCATTTTGCCAACATCACCAAGCTAACATCTTTTATAGCTCCATGACAGAGGGCATAGTACTTGACCTATGCTTTGCTATCACAATCACAATTCTCTAAACAAAGCCACAT